TTTGACATGTGTAAATGGCATAGGCAACTTAGATCCATTGGAACCTTAAATTAAACAACACCAAATGGTGCACAGAACGACTATTTGACGTATTTTGCAAAAAGGCGAAAACTTAGCCATTAACATCCTAATACCATTCGATAGGTAATTGAAAATTGCATTTCCTGGTAGGTTAAAAAATATGGGGTTGTACTTAAATTAATCAAGTTAGAGCCACTTAAAGTTCTTATTTGATTAGTTTAAATTTGTGGACACGCTGTATAACATGGTAAGTTTATTGTTGGGATATAAAATATTGTATCTTGTTACACTTCACTATAAAATACGCTTACATAACTTAAAWACTTCTAAAGTATTTGACACGTGAAAATTTGATTATATTTTGAATAAATTCGTATTATTTAAAAAACCTTAAGATTTAGGTGTTCTAACAGTTATTAAAACAGACACTTACTTTGTTCAGCGAATCCGAAAATGCAATAATATACAGGACATTCCATTAAAAAAAAAACGCAACTTTGATACCTTTAGAGCTTTTGGGACACTCTTTACATTACGRAAATATTTTTAAAATGTGCGCTCGGTAGGCGTCGGACAATTCATAAAAAAATACTTTTTAAAAAATCAAACGGCAGTTTAGGATTGGTTCAATTGTGAACTGATGGCGTAATGGAATTTGTTGATTGTTTAGAGACCGAAAGGGCGTTGCCGAGAATCTGCAGATGCCAAAACGGCGGTCTTTGCCGTGACAACGAGACGGATGAATTGGTCTGCGAATGCCTACCAAACTACCAAGGCCAGTTTTGCGATATTCTAACAGCACATGGAAGCAGTGCTGATAATGGAACCACCACCGCTATAGTTGTGCCCATTGTGGTCATTATGCTCATATTGGCCGCCGGTACTGGCGTGTGGTTCTTCATCAGGAAGCGGCCATTGTAAGTGGCCTGCGCCCGAGCCTGAGGCAGTAAAATTGGGAAAATTACTTGGAAAATTTGCTTTTTCCAGTGGAAAAGGCGTCGGCATTGGATCATTAGCGAGCAGCCAGAGCGTGTCGTTCCGACAGGGAACCAACGTGGAATTCGGGTCGCAAAGCTTCAATGGGTCCTCAGGAGCGCCGGAGCCTTTGGAGGTGGCCTATAATATGGATACTGTCAATACAAAAAATCGAGATTTCCACAATCCGATGTACGACGCTGTGCAGAATAATCCTGATGTGGTGGGCAATGGAAGCGGAGGTAAATATCAAGCAGGGAGTGAAATCAGTCAGTTGCGTGGCTTAAGAGTTTTTTGCTCCAATTATCCCGAACTCGAACGAAAATTTCAATAACAAAACCTCATGATATAATTGAAAATACGAAAAATGTAATTTATAAAATTCCTTGCGAATGCAATAAATTTTATATAGGCGAAACCTCAAGACCATTACACAAAAGACTCAAAGAACACCAATCATACATAAAAAACAGAGAATATCATAAATCACACTTTTGTCAACATGCGTTTGATAATTGCCATAAAATTAAATGGGATAATTCCACAATTTTAACAAAAGAACAATCCACAAAAAAACGTAAAATTAAAGAAAGCGCACTAATTTTACTAAATCAAAATAATTGTGTTGCTTCATGTTCATTTAATTTAAGTCATACATGTAACAATGTTAAGTCATACAATTTAAGTCATCACCTATGCTAAAATCTGAAGTAGACCAGAGAAACATACAGCCAAATTAAATTTACACCAAAATTATTAATTAGCATTACCTCTGTAATGAAAGACGTGAGGAAATTCTGTCTTTTTTAAAGACAAAAATTTTTGAGGAGAAATACCCAAAAAGAAGTTTGTAAAAAAATAAATACAGAGTGGCCGGCAATTGCAACACGAATGAATGACTAGTGAACTGAGACTTTTTGGTCAGAAGTTGTTTTAACGAAGTTTTGAGTGGTTTTCTGCTCTTTAAGGGCGCAGAAGTTTGAAATTAATATTCGTTTTAGACTGATTTGGTCGATGGCCCATTGCGATAGAAACAAAGACAAAAAAACTCCACTCCTCCACTCTCTCACTGCAGTTTTATTATTCTAGCTCTATACGAGGTACCTTCTGAACTCTCCAAGGCTAAGTCTGGTAGTTTTACTGAACCTCCTAGTGCTGTTATTGCACCATCCAGTGTAACACACAGGTAAGTTCCATGGAACAGAACGAATAAACTTGAACATTTGCCATCATTGAGATGAGATAACGCATCTTACTCTTGCGTCTCTTATGTTCTTTTGATTGTGGTTTAGGTTGTCGCCTCAAGCAAGACACAAGGAACTGACTCCGGCCACTCATGATACTGGCAAAGACACTCAGAAGCTGGTTGAAGAGGATTGCTGATACAGGGTGTTGAAGAAGCGTTGGTAGTTATTCGGCGTGGAAGAAATCAAAGCGCAAAAATATTTATTTGTTATTCTTTGAAAGGCAATATGGAAAACGCGTTTTCAACTAATTGAAAGCCTGAAATTGATCAAAGAGTTTATTGAGCTTAGGGTTGCTATGGGTATTTGGAATGCGACAAAATTGTTCCATCTACATGAAACGTCCTCTAAAACGCTATTGACTATAACAAACGTTTAGACACCGTCTGTGATTTTTATAAATAATATTTAAAAGTAATTTAACTCGACGTGTATTATCAGAAATGAACATTCCACTATTGCATATTATAGATACTGTAAGTTTAAGGGAAAAATCTATTTTTGTATTCAACCACATTTGGCTTTGAGACATTGAATATTCGAACCTGTTTGAGTTGAAATTTTGTGAATGAAAGGGTATGTTAAAGAGTGCCATTTAATAATGCGACAGGTTTAACAGAAACTGACTGCTGAAAGGAATTATCCGATCTTCCATGAATTTGTTGTACATATAATATTAAATATTTGTAACATCCAGAGTTCAATTAATTGCATCATTCATTGAGCTTTGAACATATCGAAACTGTAGGTACGAACTAACTATATAATCGCCTATTATGTCCTAACTATGTAAAATACCCGTCCAACATGCACATCTTAAAATCGAATCAAATGTTCATCCGTTATCATTTCCCGGATTTAATTGTATTGAGTTGTTTGAGGATTGTATTTTTAAATTTTATCAACTTGTTATTTAATTCTTATAGGTTTATTTAGGATAGCGCATTTTAGTGTAATCAGTGATTTAAACATTTACTGTGTTAGAAACTCGTGTGGCGCCCAGCTCTTCTATAGCGGGACTTTGAGCCACAAAAATTAGTTGTACGTGGGGCCTTTTAGAAACTGATTTTCTCCACTAAAAACGCTGTACTTAAAAGGAACGCATTGTGAGAAGGTCAACACGTTTCATTTTGTTGCAAGTATGTTTTTATATTTGTAAATAATTCCCTGGGAACAAATCTGTAGATTTAATTTAAATATAAAGGTTGTTTTAAATATGTGTGCTTTATTTGAAAGTTCCTGGCAAATAAATACAAAACGCATCAAAAACTCGTAAACTGTTAATTTTTTCAAGTTTAAGCTATTGATACATTTAGAGGGTTTGTAATTGCGACCTATTTATTTCATTTTTCTAACCAGGTCAGTACTTCAAAACAAAATTTTATTTCTTTAGATTTAAGCGCTCTTCAACCATTGCAGCTCTGAAAAATGCGGCGAAAAGCTGATCCGAGAACTCGAAATTTAAACTCCCCTGGCTTTTTACGCTAAGCCTATGGGCTTTTTAAGAGTTCTTGAATTCCTGGAAATTGTTGATAACTGACCGAGTTACAAGTGCAAAGAGTGGAAGTTTGTGCAAGTTTGAGGGTTTTAGGCTTGCCAATATACAGAGTCCATTTCCATCCAAACTGTTGCAAATACAAATTTTCTTGTCGGCAGTGAATGTGTCAAGAATCCACTTTGCAAACAATCTGATGTTTTATTTTGAAAATGAGATAATCGAGGCAAAAATTCAAAGCTACTTGATCGCAAAATCGTCCCAATTCCGCATAACTTCCAAGTTTTTCAAACCCATTGCAATCCGAGATTCAATTTTTAGAGAAAATCGTACGCTTTTCTAACAACTTGAGAAAGTTTCATTTATTTCTAGCCCCTGACAAATCAGGAATTCCATATTTTTGGTTTGATTGGTTTAGTATAAGTACCCTGCTATTAACACACAAAATTTCATTATAATCGATTCGTTAACGACTGTTGGACAAATTTTCAAAAGTCTGCGAAATTTCGCATTGTGCCGGCGGCATTTTAATCATACAATAGTTGACATGGGAATGTATGATAATTTTGTATCTGCTTCACTCGCTGCCTGTAAACTCACTTTTATACTTTGCTGAACTTTCGCCAAGTCTCATTCATTTTAGCCCACCCTTTGGGCTGGAAAATCCAAAAACGCCTTTAAATTAAATTGTTTTTATTATTGGAAGATTTAATATGTTAATATTACACTGAGAAACAGTTAACCTTAGGATTTACGAGAATATTTACCTACGACAGTATTTTATTGATTAGTTTAGCCTAACAACAGATACTTTTGTGAAACTGAGTTGATGCAACCCCAAAACAAACCGGGTATAGATGCGGAAATTTAACAGAAATCAAACCCAGTTTGAGACAATTTCTAAGAAAATACCCCCAATAGTAGAACTAAAATACACATGGGAAACACAGCGACTGTTCCAAACCTACGCTATAAATTCTATTTGCCATGATAAATAGAGATGCAAGTAGAAATCTTATAGAATAAAAAACATCGGTAAAAATCTACAAAATCAAACTATTTCCTCATATTACACAGATTCTAAGATGTACCATTATTTTGAAGTTTAAACTCTAACTATTCTTTCGATGAAATGGTTACACATAGAAATATTCCCTATTGTACATGTAATAATTATGCTTAAAAACGTGACCTGCAAGCCACGTTTTACACGTTGCAAACCTTGCAAATGTGGCTTTCAGGCCAGTTTCACGCTTGAAAGAAACAACAAAACCCTAAAACTGATAATCTTAAATATTTCTTAAATGTACAATAATAACTATCGCTGATTGAAAAATGAACGAGATGATTCTGAATGATGATTTATGACTGATGTGGGCGAACAAAATTGGATTGTTTTGCATTTAATAATTGAATGTGGTTGATGAATGTTGTAATGCTCTCCCGCTCTCGATTGCTCTTTGATCGCCTCTAACTTCTTAGTTCCTGTTGTTTCTGCGGGCAGCTGAAAATTTGCAAAATAATCAGAAAAACTCAGCAACTCAGTGCCGTTTGCCTCCAGTCCAAATGAACATTTGCAAATGCAAAACAAAAACGAAAAAAACTAAAAAGTGGATGATACGATACGGTTACCTTTCTTACCTTTCGCGGGTTGGCCCTTGACTGGTTTGGACTTGCACTTCTTCGTAATCTCTCTCTTCTGCTCGCAGGAGGGATCGCTTCCTTGCTTCAGCTTGTCGCTACGAGTTATCTGGCCTTGTGCATTGCATTCAGCCCAATTTCCTTTTTCGTATCTGCAAGCTACCGAAATAAGTTAGAAAATGGACAAAATGCTGCAGAGAATTTGGTTATTGAGCAACTAATTCGATTATATTTCAGTAACTGTTGTGTGAAGACCCACAGAGAAACTCAACTAATTGTTGAACTAGAGAAGAATTGAAAGAAGAAATTGCTTCCATCCTGAATTATTTTAATGTAAATTAAAGTTGGAAGAGGAGCAGAAATATATTATTCAATTGGAAGGCTTAGACTATATAAGCTTTTTAGCAAACGTTAGCAAGGCACGCCAATAAGCAATCTAAAAGAAAAAAATACTGGGCATTTTTTAATGGAAATGGAAGTTAGAAAAGTAAAAGAAATGAATGAGGGAAGAGAAAATTTTGAAATATTTCTCAAACGGCTCTGTATCAAAGCGAAGCCTAAAATCGATAAAGGAATCAAGGCAAATATTTTTTAAAAGCCCACCAAACCGGGAAGCAAATATTATCGTGAGGCTGTCAGTGCCACACCGAGGTAAATAATTAATGCATAAGCGGTTAATTAACCCCCAAGTTAATTAAAGTGGCCTAATTACGTTAAATCTTAATGGAATTGGGGCGCAGGTTATTACAGACGTTGAGGGATAATGAGGTACGTCGGGCACATATTTAACGTTTCCTAGATTGAGGCCTTTTCTGGATGTGCCGATTTTTCAGATAATTCATCGAGTGAGTATCAGCATCTGTTGGGGTTATGCATAAATCAGGCGAAATACCCGTAGAAAATTTGCGAGATTTATTCAGGCAGTATTAAAGCCTGTAAAATCGCGTTCTTAATCTTGCCGTAGCATTTTTCCATCTGAATTTTCAATATGCTCCACCGCAGGATAGAGATTTTGAACCTTCAAGCAGGTGTTATCGGCTTTAATAAAAATGAGACTCGCTGTGCAAAGTGGGAACCGTAAATTTGCCGCATGAATATGCAGGCTGGATTCGCGAATTTAATGCGATCGGATTGATAATATCAAACGAACATTTCCAGAAGAGAAACCCCTTTTAATCGATGTTTAGCCGGAAAAATCCAGTCAAGGGTTTTATTATTTCTAACGTCGCTCTCCATCAACTAAATCAAACAAGATTGATTGCTGGGAAATCGATTGGAGCCTCAAGATTTCCCAGTTCGTGCACATAAAGGATAAATATATTGCTTATAGAGTCGCTTCGGTATCTTTTTCCATGGCGGAGCTTAGCGGAAATTTGCTAACAGCATTCGATGTCTATTTGACGATGATGTATCGGATTGCGGACTACTCCAGAAAACTATAGCAAATATTTCTGCTTTCAACAGGTCCGGAAATATCGCCAGTTTGCCAAATTCGCTCTTTGATGAGAATCTTCAGGTATTTAGCAAAGAACACTTTTATAAATGTGCAGCAAACATCATCAACTGAATGAGAATCCGTTAAAGCTTCGAAAAATCCATTTATGTCCGGATTTCCGTTAAATTATCTGTGTTTTCGGAGCTTCTATGTATCAAAGTACATTAAACATTGTAAAACTCTGCAGATTGTAAAATCAACCAAAAAAATTCTACGGATTTTCTAAGTTGCACAAACGAAGAAACTGGCAAAGCTTCAAAAGCTTCCAATTTCTATTTGACTTTAGTCCATCAAGTTTTGGAGATTTGGAAGCTTTTGCAGCTTTGCCAGTTTCTTCGCTTGTGCAACTTAGAAAATCCGTATTTTTTTCTCCTTTTGGCTGATTTTTCATTGGTTTTAAAATGCTTATTTTGCTTTAGGCAGCAAATTTCTGCATACAGACACAATGTAACTTAAATCTTAGCACACAAAGTCAAAAAGTGATTTCAGTTCAGCAAATTTTGGAGCTTTAGAAGCTTTCACAGTTTCCATCTTTGTATAACTCGTTGTTTTTTGGTTAATTTTTCAGTGACCTGTAGAGTCAGGTTTTACAATGTTTTACTTGTTGCGTTTGATAGAAGCTTTGCGAGCTTTTAAACGGCGAATTTCCGCACACAGGCAGGATTTAACTTCAATCTGAGCACAGGTGGAACTTTTAAAGCTCAAATGAAATCAAAACTTTAAAAATAATTTTCAGTCCAGCAAATTCTTGAGCTTCCAAAACTTTTGAAGCTTTGGTAGGTTCTTTCTTTGTGTAACTACAATTTTGCATTCCGTCAGACTTTCAATACTCACTTTGCTTTGTTAGATAGAAGTTTTGCGCACATTTAAAAACCGAATTCTGCACATAGAAATAATTTAACTTGAATCTGAGCATAGGTAGACTTTTCGAAAAATTTTGGAGCTTTTGGATGTTTGGTTGATCTTGCAATCTGCAGGTCAAACTTTACAATTTTGCTGTTAGACAGAAGCTTTGAAAGCTTTGAAACTTGAGCAGCTGCTTGGATTAGAGTGAAATTTTGTCGGTGTGAGGCTCTTTATGCTTCTTAACGAGGAAAGAAAATGCTTCCAAGCGGCTCTTCTGAATCGCACGCCCGTAAAACATCTCACTAGAAAAATCTGCCGAGTAGAAGATTTTTTCGGATTAATATCTTTAATCTTTGAGGTGTTCTGAACAGTTTGCGGTTTCCATCCCAAGAATTCCAATTGAACGCTCTGAATAAAAAAACAGGTTTAGCTTAAAACATGCACAATATGTTGAGTTTCTCGCGAAAGTTTAATATATAAATATGCTTGCAGTGAAGCTAACGGAATTAATGAAGGTAAGCCACAAAGGCTCCAAGCTCCAAGGAAGGTAAAGTTTCACAAATTACAGGCGCCCATAAAAGGGAAACTTTGCGCATTTTTTCCCATGAAACTTAGCCTGGATTACTCTGGGCGTAGCGGATGTTGGAAAAAGTTGGAAAATGAAAATTTATCATTTAGCTGGGCTTTAGCCCAATGAAACCATAAGTTGATCGTAATAACATCGACTGACTTGCGGTTAGATTGTTGACCTTTGTCACTCTGGTTGATCGGAATTCCTTACCTTTTTTGCACTTCTTCTGCATGGTCTTGGTCGGCTCGCAACTTGTTTGGTTGCCCTTTTTCAGCGTGAGCGTTCTTGATCTCTGGTTCGTCTTGGAATCGCATTCGGACCAGCCACCTTTGGCGTAACGGCACTCTTCTGCAACGGATAAAGTCATTGCTTAAATATGAACGTAATAATGTCCCTTAATGGACCTAATCCGTTAAAAATATGTTCCGGGTCGGTCATATATTTTATTTTTCTCTTGCTCGCGAATAAAGCTCTGCATTTTATCAAAAGCCCTCGCCAGCCCGAATGAAAATGACAGATTTAAATTGCCCTCTTCCATATTTAATTCCAGCAGAGCAAATGGAACTTATGACTTTTGCAGTTGGGCTGTAGATGAAGTGCTCGCTAATAATGCTCAATTCGCCCATTGGCACCATAGTTTATAGAAATAATTTATCTTTTATACTGTATTTATTACATAATTTCTTGCTTTAAGAAGCAGGCATGGAAAGCACGATTATTGTTGGGCTCCTAAGGTTTATCAGGGCGTTCTTGCTCAGTTTGCTTCCGAGATATGAGCAAAAACGGGACGAAAAACATGAAATTTTGGCATAATCTTGCACCTCTGATATTAAAATTTTGCTTTCTGGGTCAAAACTACTCGAAGTTCCTCACTCAAGTTGTTACGACTGAATCGAATTTTCAATTCTCTATCCAACGATGCCAAAACGAATTCTGTGGCTCAAATGGGGCTTGAGAAACTTCGAAAAAAGCAGCGTCATGTATGAGTCGATTTTGCCAGTCAGAGAAAACGCACGCAAATCTAAAACTCCTTGAAATCAAAATTTTTGTGAGAAAACTGCTAACATTTCTTTATCGATAGTTCACTTTTTGAAAAGGCCATTTAGTTATCTATGGAATGCTGCAAAAATGAGCGTTCTTGCTCATTGTGCTTCCGAGATATGAGCAAAAACGGGACGAAAAACATGAAATTTTGGCATAATCTTGCACCTAAGTTTCTGATATTCAAATATCGCTTTCTGGGTTAAAACTACTCGAACTTCCTCACTCAAGTTATTACGACTGAATCGAGTTTTAAATTTTCT